AAACTGTCGATAGAGCACTATTGTTGATGATTTAAACTGTTTTATATATTGGATTTCTCCTAACTGTAGCTTTCATATCTTTTTTTGTTTTCTTTTGTGGCTAACAGAACATTCCAATGTGCCAGTGGAAAAAAATATCACTTTAAAAAGACCTTCTAATATACAGCTCATATGCCAATTCACAACATCTGGGGATTTGAATTCAGTGAATGTAACTTGGAAAAAAGGTGATGAACTACTTAAGAATGATGTCATCAATGCAACAGGAAACATCCTGTATACCCAATACACGTGAGTATAAAATATTTTAACCTGCATAGCTAGATGAAATTAGTTAAATTCTAAATGTTTTTGCCGAATGGGCATTCTTTCTTTTGCTGTCACTTTTATGTTATACTAATATTCTAATTTGCATAATTACAGAATTATTTCTATTTTTAAATTTTGATTAATGGCTAAGTCTTTTGATTTTCATTAAGAAGTGTTTTGGGAACTAAGCCTATATTAATAACTTAAATTATCTTTAGGTTCACCATCATTAATAGTAAACAAATGGGAAGTTATTCTTGTTTCTTTGAAGAGGAGAAGGAACAAAGGGGCACATTTCATTTCAAAGGTCAGTACTAATAATTTATAGAGTCATGACTTCAGCATTGTATTCTTAGAATTCTAAATCCTGAAATTTTAATTATTAGAATACTAAACATAATGCAGCTGAAAGAAAATCATATGCTTTCCATTGAATCATAAGGGGTGACCTTGAAAATGGAGCTTCCCGGAGTCTTCTCAGTGGTAGAATTTGCATTTCCCAATTCACTCCCACCCCTGCCTCCCTCCCCCAGATTAAAGCACAGGTTTTAGTTCCAAAGGCCAGGCTGCCGGGTTATTTGTAAGTCATGGCAGTCTCTTGAATTTGTTTATTTAGCCCTCTAAACTCAGAGCTTTCATAGTATCCCTCTAGGTGTCTGAGTTACTGTTCTCCTAGACTATGAGAATATGCTTTGGTGTTCTTTATCAGTGGCTCTAGGACTTGGGATTTTAAGGATCCATAAAATTTAAAAATGATATGGAGGTGCACAAAGGGTTGTCTGCTTTTGATCTTATCAATTTAAGGACAAACCCCAGAATATAATCCACAACTCTCCCCGTGGGAACAAATAAATCAAAGTATTTTATGTTTACCATCATTAAACCAAAACTTTAGGTTTCAATGTTATGATAAATAATAGTCATTTGAGTTGGATAATTATCTTCACAAAAAAACCCATATTCTGTGATACGTTAGTGAACCCCAGTGTCCATGCTGGTATTTGGAAAATGCGATCTATTGCCATATTAACTATTTTGGGCTTTGCTTCACATTAATTTCCCAGTGTACATGAGAAATTGTTCTTTACTTTTCCTAAAAATTGTGAGGTCTGGCTAGCTGCCCTGACAAAATATGACACTGTCCCCAAGGCCCCATCAATAGCTGAATGGTCTGCTTCATCACCACCATGATTTAAGATGGTTCGCTTCTGTGTTCCCTCTGCAGTCACAGACCCATTTCCTTCGTGTGGTTTTGTAAATGTTCATACTTGGTAAATATAATAAATATTTGTATTTATTCACTTTGGTCTTTCCAAAGGCAGAAACTAGTATCATCCTTTGATAATTTTGATCATGTACATTCTCTTTTAACCTTCTTTCCTCCTTTTGCCTATTTTAACTTAGTGAAGGATAGATACACATATACACTTCCTTCCCTTATTCCTTCCCTTTTCCTTTTCTTTTCCCAGTCTTTTTCTCTCCCTTCTTCCTTCCTCCCATCCTTTTCCTCCCTCCCTTTCTTCTGTCCTAATGAGCTTAAAGGATATTAAACACATGTGCGCACACACACACATAAAATCCCAGTAAACATTCTATTGAGTCTCCTTTAAATATGCAAAGGAGGCCTATAGGTCTTGAGGAGATACTCATCCAGTATTGAGACTTAAAGAGCTTCCAGGAGATTCAACTTTAAAAATTGCTCTTTTTCCTTCTAAATAGCACTGTTTTCTAGAAATATGTACTAGTCATGCCTGTTCAGAGTTTAAATATTGCAAACATTACATTTTTTCTTATTAGCTCTCTTATAATAAATTACTTAGAGTATTATTTGGATGTGATCATTCTTGCCTCTAATGTGAAGATTAACAGAAGCATTTTAGTTTTGAATATACGAATTCATTTAATGCCAAGTAGTCTTAGAAAAAGGCTCTTGATTTGTCTGTGTTTTGAGATGACTAGGCTGATGCTGGCTGGTGTCAGAAGTACCACCACAGGGCCTAGGTTTGAAATCCAGTGCTTGAGGAATGCCAAGAGCCACTGAATATTCACTTTTTTTCTTTTTATAGGTTTCCTGAAGCAGTTTAGTTCATTTTATTAGTTTTTAATGCCTACTTAACATTAATGTAACTTTTAAGTATGCACTGTGTCTTGAAGATATTTCTAAAATTAGTAAGTTGGGCCCTCTCAGATCTTATTTGGTAAAATAATAATTCTCTGTAACTTGTCTAAATTGAATATTGCTTGGAGAAATCATTTCATTTGAGTACAATTTAAAGGCATCAGCAGAACTATTCATATTATAGTTATTATTTAATTAGCTCTATAAAGCTTATAGAATGATATATATTTTTATAAATATTCTATTATACTCTCTCTCCACATAGGTTGTTTATGTTTCTTCCTAAGAAGAAGGAATATCTTTCCTTAGCAGCACTACAATTAAGTGTGGATGAAAAGCCTGTTTTATCCTCTGTTTTAAGTTGAACCAAAAAAAAAAAAGAAAAGTAAATTCTGCTATTGACTATATGAGTCAACTGTAGTGCATGAGCCTGAGTCCTCAGAACAATTCATCAGCGAAGTCCCTACTTCTGCCTTTATGGGAGCTGGTTGATTTGTTACTACAAGATTGTAAAAAAGCCTCAACATCACTGATTAGCATGATGCAAAAGAACCTGCTGACTTTGTTGAGCTGTTGATGTCAGTACAGGGGAGACAGCAAAAGTGCACAGTGGAAGCTTGCAACTGCTAATATGTCAGTGGTCACATTTCCCCCAAGAAAGATGAGTGATGGTCCATGATGTTTCTTAGTATTGGGTCACATTTTCTGAGGTAGTTGCTGAAAACTTCCATAATATTCACCAGTGTTAAAATCTCTTAGTGGAAGGATGCAGAAATTTAGTTGGTAAAGGACAAGTAATAGGCCATGGAACTTTTGGAAGTCATGGTGAATTTTGAATAGTACCAAGTGCTCTGAAACCGTCTTGGCCCAGCCACCCGTCTTGACTGGGAAGTATCCAAGGAGTCAAAGTATGGAAGATTAGCATAATAGAATCAGTTGGAACTTCAGCTTCAAACACCAGTGTCCAGTTAGCTGTCTTTGTCACATGGAAGTATCTTTTTGCTGATTTGGTAATACCTAAATATCCTTGAACCAAAAAATGACACTTAGGCCAATTTGTTCTAGTCCATGAATATGCAGATGTGAATCTCCAACCTTACAGCTCCATAGGGCTTTCTCTTTCGCTGGGTAAATCCTTGACCCCATCTTCCTAGACACTAGTCTGAATCAATAATTTCACCATCTTCAAATCTAGATTCTTCCAACCGCAATATTTTCATGTGTCCTACTTTATCCACAGTTCCAAAAGGTCAGCAAGGCACATTAGAATACTGTATCACTGTCCTTATATTCATAAATATTTCTAAACATAAGCAGTGGCCCAGAATACAACACACGGTGACCTTGAAGGAGAGCAAACAAATTAATGTTCCCTGAGCATGGTGCATTTTATAATTCAGACCCACACAGCTGTTAGCAGGCATAGATAGCAGAGCAGAGCAGTGGTTAACGTTATCTTGGCCATTAATCTAGTGGATAGTCAAGAAAACAAGATATGAGAAGAAAATACAATTTGGGTTTCAATTTCTTTGTGGCATCACTCACTCAGTCATTGTCAGTTATCTAGAGTCTACAACCTGATCTTAACATTTAATTGGGATGGTTTAATAGTGTAGCCATGTGTTCCTCACCCAAACCTCACAGAATACCCAAGATTTTCTTGAAAAGCCCCTTTCAGCCACCAGTTCTGCTTCCCAAGCCTGTGCCTCTTACAGGCTTACTGAAAAACCAAGTCGTCTGCCATGTTTTCCTCCCAAATGTTACCTTTCTTACACTTTTGATTCTTAGCCTGTGGGTATATTTCAATATTTTGATCATTTCAACACATATTTTCCTGTTAAAGCATGACCTAATTTCCAGAAAGAAGCAGGCTGAGATTGAGAAATAGGATATGTGGGAGATAAACAGACTGGGAAAGCAGAAACTGTGCCCCTGACCAGTGCCTAACAACCAGTTTGAAAGTCTGCCTTCAAAGTAGCCTGGCTCTAGAAGTAACTTCATCAGAGCTGTACTGTTAAAAAGCAGTGCCAAGATGAACGTGTTGTACCTCTGCACGCTGAATTCGAGAATTGTAGCTCTGTTCCATCTGAGATTTGGAAGCAACCTTGTGGCTTCTGAAAAGAATCCCTGTTTTAGCCCAGCTCAAATCCATGTTTAATCTGCAGGTCTTTAGTTGAAGCCTCTCCGAAAGTAGGGTTGATCTTTCCAAGTGGGGACTTTATCCTCCAAATGCCTCTGTGTCCTCATACTTCATTTAAGACTAAAACCACACCAAGTGTTGGATATATTGGAATGAAGTATGATTAGAAAGTGGTATTGAGCTGATAGATTGATAGTGCTTTGTTAGGAGACCCAAGAATAACTTTGTTCTCACTTGGTCCAATCATTCCTCCTCAACAAAATCTCAAATATGGAAATATACACGAAAAAGAGATACCAAAGCAAAGTAACATTTTATTATTGGCCAGCCTTTGTCACAAATCTTGCTGAAATTGTTGGAAGGCTTGACCACATGGACGGCTTCTTTTTCCTCATTTAGGTCTTACTAACCTTAAACCAAAGCAGAGTCATCTTTTCTTGAGTCCAAGCTCAATTTACTACTTAGTACTCTAGAGAGGAGGATACACCCTCCTGAATGAGAAAAAACGTGGTGAGCATGGGGCAGAGTTCTTTATACCTCCAAATCCCCAGCCCTAGAGAACAGGGCCCCATCAGTGCCCTGGAACATGACCAATCCAGGACAATCCTCTCTAGGACTGGAAAACCCTCCAGGAGGGTTCAGTGAAAGGAGGGAATTTATATCGAGGTCACCAGGGACTCAGTCCACAGACCACTGCCCAGCCTTCAGTGGTTACCACCTTCACTGTCTAGTGAGGAAACTTGTTCTACCATAAGAAAAACAAAACAGAATAAAATGTTCTGTGGTTCAGCCTAATTTAAGCCTTTTACATTTTGACATTTAAACTTATTGTCTTGTTTCTCAAGAACTTAAAATATAGTTATGTTAATATCAGGACAGATGGTCAGCCTATTCTCTTGGATCCTACAGTTTCCAATTTTCTTTTAGTGGTTATTTTCCTCCTTTAGGTGCTATCTGGGTCCACAAATGAGCCCTGAAGGGGTAGCCACAGACTGAGAAAATCGAACCAAACATTAACAAAAGTAGCTTGACCTAACAGGGCAGAGCACTTATGTGAGAAACGCGCTCTTTACTTTTATATTCAAAAAGGCACGTGGATAGCAATTATTGTCTTATTTTAAAATTGAACTTGCGGTTGTATCAAATTATTAGTTGCTTTATTCTGCCTTTTGTTGTTAAAACTAGTGTGTGGTGAATGAGCCATTTCCTTTTGATTCTTAGGTTTTATAATGTGTAGTTATTATTCTGTGTATTGTTTCTGCTCCATATACTACATAGGTCTGGAACAAGATTTTCTTTTTAACTTTTTAACCAGTTTCATTTCTTGTTACGGTAAGGAGCAGTAATTAGACACCTTGATTTAAATTGTTCTAATTTATATTTAAATCATAATCCTTAAACAAAATCTTATTCAGCTGCTTTAGCCAAGCACTTGAATGTGTTTCAAGCTGTAGAATTGGTTTTATAGCTTCACTGAAAAATTGTTTAATATATGTTATTAAAGCATGGATTGGTGCCACCACCAGCATCTCAAAGCTCCTGTTCCTTCATTCTTCTAGGCCTTGTCTCCTGTGAATTTATCTCCTATTTTTCATCATTTTACTGTTTTACTCTCCTTTCTCAGATGGGCTGGGTGGTGTGTAAAGGACTCAGTTTGGAGCGTTTTCCTTGTTTTGGGGTGTTTTACACATTCCTGTGATTCTGAGATGTATTCAGATGAGTTTCCAGTTGTCCTTTTTATTCTAGGTCTTATTTCTTCTCTGTTCCACAGGGCCAGCTGGCCTAGAAGTCATTCTTGCACGTGATGATAATCCATTCTGTTAAGCTGGCTAATGACCACTATGTAGAAAGGCCGGGGGCATTATAACTTGTAAAAAAGCTCAGTTAAAAACAGAAGTACCAGTACATGATCACAGCTACAGGTTGAACTTTGTGGTGTTTACTCTGCAGCAAGCACTTGATGTCTTGTGTTCTCGTACTTAATGCTTTGCAGCAGCAGCAGCACTGCAGGCTGGGTTTGACCTACCTGTGTCCTCAACACTAGTCACAATGAAGCTGTAGTTCACCATCATTGTCACATTGTGCTGACTCCTTCAAACACTCATGACCTCACCTTTGAAATGGACACATATTAACCACTTTTCCCGTAATGTCCCTTAGCCTAATGGTGACCAGTAGGGAGTGTGGGACACTAGTGGCCTCTCAAAAGGAGTGCTCAGAGTATCTTCTGGCAAGGTCAGCTCACCAGTTTCTTCTGGCTGGGATGACTCCAATCAAGCTAGTCACATGTACTCACCCCTCTCCTCCCTCAGGAGCTCCCTAGTCGTACCGTACTAGGTTTTCATTAACTATTAGTGGGGTGATTATAAATTCTGATTGGCAGTTCATATCTTTGTTTAATGTAAAATTGTAGACCATTCAAATTTCATCAAAATGTGTTTCCTTGGTTATGAAAAGTGTGAGAACCACTGATTTATAGACTGCTCTGTCATCTTTCTTATGACTACTTGAAGCATTTATGTCTTCATGGGTGACATACCTTCCTGTTATTTGCATCTCTTTATTAGTAGCAGTGCCTCAGTCAACACTCGGCTGGTTAGCAGTCCTGATGGAGGAGAGGGTGATATGTGCACTTGTATTTAGGCCCGCTTCAGACAATAAGGAGAAAAGACTTCTGTGCTCCTCATTGTAACTTTAATCACCTAAGGACAGAACTCCTAAAAAAACCCTCTTCTCCAGCCCTGTTTTTACCACTTCTCTGGTAGTTATACAAATCAGAATTTCTCTTCTAGATATTATCAATTCTTTTCCCTTTGCTCATCTTTACCATTCCTACATCTAGCAAATGCCTGATTATCTTTGGGTAGCAAACTCAAGAGGCCTTGGAGAATTGTTAATCTAGAAACCCAGTTTTAGTAATTAAAATTGATCTTTCCAATCCCCACCCTGAACCTCCCCAAAATAAAATCTAAGAATAGAATAACAAGTGACTGTCAAAACAGTATCTGTAAAACTTGACAACATAGTATTAAAAATTTAGACATAAATTCATATATATTCTCTCTTGGCAAACCAAACAAACAACAAAAAAAGGAAAAACAAAACACAAAACCAAAAGCCTGCTAAAATTAGTAAAAGAAAAAAAAATCATCAAAAGTAATCTTTGTTGATCAGTCTACATCTCCAATATAAGTATACATTCTATATTACATTCTTTGAGGTCAGTCAGGAGAAACTGATTTCATCATGGGGGCTATTGGTTGGCTTTTTATTGCTTTGCATGTGTTCTTTTTTTTTTTTTTTTTTAAGTTTTAAATTTTGATGAAGTCCAGTTTATCTGTTTTTCTTTTTTTTAATTTATTTTATTTTATTTATTTATTTTTTCCCCCAAAGCCCCAGTAGATAGTTGTATGTCATAGCTGCACATCCTTCTAGTTGCTGTATGTGGGACGTGGCCTCAGCGTGGCCGGAGAAGCAGTGCGTCGGTGCGCACCTGGGATCCGAACCCGGGCCGCCAGTAGCGGAGTGCGCGCACTTAACCGCTAAGCCACAGGGCTGGCCCTTTCCTTGTGTTCTTATGTTTTAATTTTCTTTACCAAGTTATTCACGTCCTTAAAATCTAATTTTTCTAAATTCAGTACTCATTTTTATTCCAATACTAATGCCATCTGCTTCAAACTTTAAGAAATTTATCATAATGAATATTGGTATATATATTTTTACAAAACCATGTGAAAGTGTTTATCTCATTTTCTTTCCTGCTCTGTTCTCTTAATTTTCCTAAGTTCCTTTCTCATGTTGCCACCTTCTCCAGCTCTTTGATGGCTTTTCATAAATCTGTATCAACTTAAGGTTTTATATCCTGAAAATTTTGTCTCCTCACTCAAATGCCATCTAAGGGTAAAACTTTGAAAAAAAAATTTGTCTAAAGTAACCTAGTAGGTGAGAAGAAAGAATAGACTTGAAAACATGAAGCTTCTTTCTTATCCAAAGCATGTAACAGTTTATTACAATACTTGTAATTGTTATTAGGCTCAATAATAGAAGACCTTTCTTCTGTTTCTACCTTACAGATCGTTATATTGAGCTACCTACCTACTGCTATTATTATTGCTACTATACATCGTAGCTACTATAAATTAGTTTCATTTTATATAGAACTAAAACTACATAAAGAAAATCATATATTAATGGGAAAATGAAAGGAGAAATTGTCTTCAACTTGAATACATTCTCCCTATTCAAACTCTTCCAGTAACATACATTTCTCTAAATTTTTCTTAGTCCCTGAACTTCATGGAAAAAACAAACCATTGATCACTTATGTGGGGGATTCGACTGTCTTAATGTGTAAATGTCAAGACTGTTTTCCTTTAAATTGGACCTGGTACAGTAGTAATGGGAGCGTACAGGTAAGATCATATTTCTTTGATTTGAAGAAAAAAACTTTTTATTTCATAAATAATATTATAACAGACTCAGAATTCCTAGCACTCTTTATACTTCTGTTATCTTGTTCTTTAATGTGTATTTATAAAGAGACAACAGTAATAAATGGAGTTGTCATTTGATGTTTTTAGCATATTACATTATGTATCTGAAGATAATCTTAATGTTTCATTAGCTGATGCTTTGTTTTTTAGATTTAGCAATTTATTTAAATTCTTTGAAAGGAAATTAAAATTCATTTTTAGTTGATGAGTTTACAAATAACCCCAACAAATAAGATTATTTTTTTCTTATCATTCCATGAAAGTAACTAGAAAAAAAGGCAGTCTTCTTTTCCTGCTTCTGTCTCTGGAAACATTTGTGAGAGAATGCAATACAATGGCCCCATTTGAGAAAAGAATGAAAATTTGGTAACTTACACTTCGGTCTTGGGTTCTTTCAGTAAATGTCATTGGCCTCTTTTGGCCTTCCAGAGACCTAAGGGAAGCCAAATACTTTAGATTCCTGTTAAAGAATTAATGGCTATTCAAAAAGCTGATATTAAGAAAAACATGAGTATTCAAGAAGTCATTTCTGGCTCTGTTTCTTCCTCCCAGATAGCCTCTAATGGCAGGGAAATTTAGGACATTGTCTTTAGGGGATGTTCTTCTGTTGCCCGCGTGCTAATGAGCATTGAAATTATAGTCCTGTAAAAGCAAACTGTAATTCTAGAAGGAACAGTATGAAACAGTGTAGATCTTACAATGAGATATTAAATTCCTTCTTAGACAAAGTTGATGCTACTGTAGACTGTTGAAGGATGACAGAGGAAGGACTTAAAAGGGAGAGTGACTGATTCTCTGATAACATGGGTTTGACTTTTCAAAGAAGTAGCTCCAAATCGCTTAGGAATAGACTTAAACCATTAATATTTCTGCTTATCTTCTTACTGATGATTAGGAAAGGTAATCATTTTGTGTATACAAATTTTTGAAAACGTGTATTTGTAAAAACAAATATCAATTCTGATATTTGAAATAATAGCCTAATTTATTTATGCATATGTAATACTAGACAAAAAATAGCCTAGATCTAATTATATTAAACTTTTATAATGTAGTCTGTGCTTCTCTTCATTTGCTGTACTAATTTTCTCTCAGTTTGGCCCTAAGCATGGGCCCTAAGCATTAGGATGTGAGAAAAGTGCAAGGAAGAGGGTGCAGGTCAAAAGTTTAGGTTAGGTGTTTTTATCAAAATGTCGACCAGCCATCTGCATCAGACTTACCTGGGTCCCTGTTAGACATGCAGTATTCTGATTTATCAGCTCTGAGTTAGAGAGTGTACATTGCAACAGGCATCAGGGGCAATGCTGTGCACAGGAGCCAGGTTGCTATAATTTTGGGGGCAAATAATAAACTCACAGTTCTCATCAGATAACCTCCAAGAATATTTGTATGGAGATTAGCATTTATTGAACAGTGGGGTTGAGAGAGAGAGCAGTGAAAGCATCACATGGCCTGAAAATAAAATTTAATTTAAATGGATTAAATAAATCAGCTCCAAAATAGCTTAGTATGGCTCTTAAGAGGCTGGGGAAAACTCAGTGAATCTCAGGAGCCAGCTTACCTGAGAGCGAGAAATTTAGATATGAAAATACAGAAGGTGTAGAGACCATGGGTACCAGGCGCACAGGGGATTTCTATCTTCCTTCTACGTCAGTTCAAAGGCCTGACGATTTCATCTTTGATTCTGATCTGAGGAACTCCCAATGTCGGGAGCCAATGATCTTCCTTTGTAGGAATGATCAGATTTAATAGCTTCATTAATTTATTAGTTGATTTAATGTATGCCTGTGCTTGTGAAGGAGGAAGTACTTTAACAGCTAGTCAGGGATTAGAATGTGAAACCCAGATGGCTGGAGTTTTTCTGTATGTTGAATTCTCATATAATATTTACTCATGATGACCTACACATTGTAGTTTGATTCAGTGCTAAGTACTTAAAGCAAAGTATACTTGTCCTTTGTTTGCTACCTCTGGGAGATCAAACTCTGAAAAGACTTAAGCTCTGTTATGTATAACTTCTCGCAGATTTTAATCTGCCCTTTTCTGTTAAGCAGTTTTCTTGGCACTGTCTTACAGCTTTCGTTCAAAGTTAGATCATTTAGGATATGTATCTTTTAAGCAATATGATAGAAATGGATTTTAATGTCTCCTTATACTAGGTTCCTCTGGATGTTCAAATGAATGATAAGTATGTGATCAACGGAACAAATGCTAATGAAACAAGGCTCAAGATAATGCACCTCTCAGAGGAAGATCAGGGATCTTACTGGTGCCGTGCGGTATTCCAATTAGGCGAGAGTGAAGACCACATTCAACTTGTCGTGCTGAGTTATCTGGTGCCCCTCAAACCATTTCTCGCAATAACTGCTGAGGTGGTTCTTTTAGTGGCTATTATTATGCTTTGTGAAATTTACACCCAAAAGAAAAAGAAGCAGCAAGGTAGGATTTCTTTTTTAGATAATGTTCTCGTGTTATGACTTTATACACCACAGTGGCTTTAGAGTATTTGGGAAAAATCTCACTTTGGTATCTGGAGTGGTATTTATGTTACTGTTAATGGTGACAGCGGGCTATGAACTTGTATTGATGGTCTTCCTGTTTCAACTTCCTACAAAATTGTAGTATTAAAATAGATCTTTATTTTTTTCCATTTCTTTGGTATTACTGGTACCTACGCACCCATTAGGTGATATGTGCTTTGGTACTAGAATATTAGAACATTCTGTGGTAGCTTAATATAAAAGATCTCAAAGATAAACAATTACTCTTTCACTTAGATAACTCATTTTTAAAAATATTTTATCAGACATTCTGGAGTTCTCATAAAAGAGATATTGACCTGTCAGTTTTCTGTTTTTGTAGCCTGTGCCTGATGGATTGCAGTTGAGAAACCAGTGGTCCCCTAAGAACATTTATCTTACATTCTGTATTCTTTCCTGGTTTTGTACTAAATTTTTAATAACTTAAATAACTACAAATCAATCAATCCTGTTTTTGAAAATCCCAGGCACTAGGCTATGCTTGATCAAAATTGCAGGTAAGGTCTGGAGAGCAGGGAAAGAGGAGGACGTCACGGAGGTACAGTGTGTAATTTTAGCGCATCTCTCTTTCATTCCAAAGAGGGGAAACAGCACAGTGCACTCTCACCTCAGGGAGAAGTTGAGTTGAACATCTATGCTTCATAAGAATAATAAAGCAATCTTAATAGTTAAATTCTTCTTTTGTTACACAGATGAGGGGAAAGAATTCGAACAAATTGAACAGCTGTAAGTATTATTTTTTACAGATTAATTTTCACTTGAGTAAAATACAGATAAATACGAAGTTGAATAAAATGTTTGCAGTTAGGGAAAAAAGCACAAGAGTATGTATGTGTGTGTTATTTTCTGTACACGTTTATCTGTGTGAAGAGTGGCATCTGGAATTTGCCTGCCTGCATGAGAATCCCCCTCCACCACTTACTTTCATCTCTCCGTGACTCAGTTTTCTCCTCAACAAATGGGTTTAAAGATAGTACTTGTCACATAAGGCTTTTGGATTATTGATATTCTCTATGTAAAAATGCTTAGCGTAGGCTTTGATGCACAGAAGGTATTCAGTAACCATAAGGAAGTATTATTTGTACAAAGCAATGAGTCTCAACCCTGGCTATATTTTTGATCGCTTAGGATGCCCCTTAAAAATACAGTGGCCCAAACCTTACTGGATCTCCTGGATCAGAACCTCTAGCATTGGTGCCTGGGCATTTGTATTCTTTTAAAATGTATGTCGCTGATTCTGATTCTCTGTCATATTGAAAATCACTGGCCTAGAGTTCTATTAGTTGCTATTTTTGAAAGAACACAAATTGTGCCACTACTTCTCTTACAGCCCCTCGTTTAGAGTTGAGTATGAGGAGAGCTGGGAAGAAAATTACCAGGGATGTGATTTGGTTTGGTGAAGCTGGGAGTTGCTAGCTTCTCTAAGCCAAAAACCTAGTGTGGAGTCCAGTGATGGAGGTGCCCAAGACTGGGATTAAAGTCTGAGTGAGAGAGTCAAGGGCTGGCCCAGGAAAATGAGACCAGAATAAAGCTGCTGAAAGAAACCTAGGAGATGGGAGGCCTGAGCAACTGTTACCAACACAAAATGGCACTTGAGGTTTACCTTTCTCAGCCACCAGTTCTGAGGAGTGGTTTACAGCCACCGTTAAAGAGCAGGAGTGGGGCAGACTGTTGTCACTTAGATACTCCTAGGCATTATTCAAATAGTTATTTCTATGCAATTTACATATGGCAGGTAAAATAAATTAACATGGTGTGAGCTTCTAAATTAAGGTCATAAAATAGTTATATCAGGAGTTCCATAACCCCAGATAGGAAAAAAACAGTGTTGTCTTAGAATCATAGACTCTCGTAGTTGGAAGGAAATTGTACCTCTTTCTGTAGAACTCGGACATCTTGTTTATATTGATCTGAACTTTTTATCTTTCTGGTTCCCATGTATTGATTCCCTTTCTTATACTTGGAGTCATATAAAAACCACAACAATCATTAGGATATTTTATACAGTTAAGCCTTGCCTGGATTCTTCTGTCCTCCCAGCTCAGCCTCCTCACTGTTTCCAGCCATTCCCTTGTAGTCGCGTTTGGAAGTTGCTCTGGTCTCGTGGTTTGGAAGTTGCTCTGGTCTCGTGGTTTGGGGGTTGCTCTGATTGCTCTGAGGTGTGCCAGAACAGGATGGAGTAGACTATCAATTCTTCAAAATTTAATTTTCATTTATGTAGTCTACCCTATTTTAAAAGTATTTTTAAAATATTTTTTTCTAGAATATCTTCACAATGTCAAACTGATTCAATCTACAGTATAGTGAATTAACTTGCTTTTATTGGAAATTGGGATATTGTACATCATTTTCTCCCTCCTGTAGTGTTCCACAGAGATCACTGACACTGTTTCAATTTTCTCTTCTTTCGGTTATTTCAGTATCTTTAGATTTAATACAAGTATTGAGGGCACTTGAACTCATTTAGAGCAACCTTTTACCATGCTCTTTTAGAATTTTTAGTTAGGAGATAAATTTTTCTTGACACAGAATAAATATTTATCAATACATTGTATATATACTGTATATATATTGTATATATATATTTGTGTTTAGCTACTAGCAATTCATACAGTTTCTTGGTGAAAATCATTTTGAAAAACACTACTAAATGTCTAACATCAAAAAAAGCTAGTCACTTCAAATAATACAGTGAGGAGCTCACTCATTTATCTGATCCACTCAGATGTTTAATCCACATAATCTCACCTACCTGCCCCCTCCCCCAAATTTTGACATAAGGTGGTTGAATTTATTATCTGGTAGTCATAGCTTAATGAGGTAAGCCTGCCCATAAGACTTAGAAGGGTGTTCATCATGCACCACTGTGACCTAGTTTAGTCATTCCTGTCTTAAGAATCTGAAGCCCACATTTGTAGTCTTGCACTCATGCACATTGGGTAAGGATAAAGAACCAAGTTTAACCTCTAATTCAATGTAATAAACATGTCCACTTACAGCACCTGTATATCACATGTTGGCTGAGCTCCTGATTGGCAGTTAGCTTGCTTATGTCAAAACAATGCATAAGTTATGGCCACATACTAAGCCCCCATTCATGCTTGGGGAGAAGCAGTTCTCCCTCTGTATAAAATAAACAGGCATTTTCACTGTCATCTGTGGCAGCAGTTCCCCTCCAAGCAATGGCATAAAAACAAAATGAGTAAAACATTTTTAGGATGAATTCTGTCTGTATAGACCTTTTACATTTTACCCTGATGTCCATGATGTCAGTGGTGTACTGACTTAATTATATGCAATGTAAACATCTAGTGATCTTTTTTGTTTTCCATACAGGAAATCAGATGATAGCAATGGTATAGAAAATAATGCCCCCAGGCACAGAAAAAATGTAAGTTGGCTTCCAAATGATATTCCAAGTAAAAAGTAAAATTCAATATATATAGGCTATCTATTAATCCAGCGACTTTTCTTTTAGTTTCATGAAAGACCTAGTCATTCACTGTGCTTGAATATGCTTGTTTACAATGTTATAGGAGAAAATATATAGTTATACAAAAATAAATGGTGTCTTTTTTCCCCACCAGAGAACAGGTAGCAATCAATCTAAAATCTGTTGCACTGCCTATATATTGTTTTCTTTTGTCACCACAGGCTACATGTTTTAGCCTTTACATGTTTTCATGTAGTCTTATTTTTGTTCTCAGTTTTTCTGGATTTTCTTATCTTATTCTCATATATTCCCATATATCTGGTGCTATGAACGAATCCTTATGAGCTTCGAGGAATCAAAATTTTCATAATTCATCCACATTTTTTGCCGGAGTATTTAGAATAGGAACTGTCATTTTGGCAGTAGTTTGGATCACCCTGCCCAGCACTTTTTGCTTTGCTGAAGTGATAACAAGTTATGGAAGAATAACCAGGACATGCTAATTATATTTCATTATGCTTTATTTAACTCAGGAATCTGTGAGCCAGTGAATGAGAAACATCATGTCAAGAGTCATGGGAAGATGTACAGAGAGTTTGTATCTCAACTTTGTTTACGCTTCCTGTTAAGAACATCTGAGTTTTTATGTTTAAAAGGATGGAAAATTTATGCAACATGCTCAGCAGTAGCTTTGTAAATTATGTATGCTATGAGACCTAAAGATTTATTTTCATTCTGTAATTATTTTACATTAAAGCAAGATAAATTGTATTAAATATGTTCTATGCGCTATAACCCAGGATAATTAATTTCCTCCTGGTCTTGAAGGGACACACAGAAAAGACACCAGCAAAACCAGTTAATGGTACATAGAGCTAATGTCACTCAAGACTTGTTTATAACCAAAGAATTCATTAAAGAGAAAAGCTTTGCCGTTTGTCTTTAATTTTTTTTTCCTCAATCATGCTTACTATATATAGAAGTATATGTAATAATTTTCATGTAAAGTTCATCCTTCTGTCATATTGAAAAAAAGTGTCTTCACTAGGAAATGAATACTTTCTGCCTTTGCTAATGAAGGTTACTCTACAATCTCCACAAGGTAAACGTACTTTTCCTCTAAAAATATTGGTTTAAGGCAAGGAAATAAAACCATATACTTACCCCAAATATCTATCACCAGAAAAGCAAATTTCCCAATCTTTATTCCACTCATTTCCATTGCTTTCCCACACCAGGCTAAAGGGATTCTTAGTCTTTATGCAGAGAATTGTTTTTAAAACCATAGGTTTTAGATTTCTTAAGTTACACCTGGTGTTGATATTGTAGGGTGCAGGTCCATATAGACATAAGATAGCATTGCCACAGGGATGCTTCTGTGGTTCATGGTTTCCTGGTATCTCTGCCTTGATACCTGGCTTCCTAGTATCCATGCCTGGCTAAATATCTAAAAATGCATTATTAGAGCTTTACAATACTAATTCCTTTGTCTGAAATTCAGAAGTACTAAAGTACTTCTTCTATGTTGTTGCAAATGCCTTAGACTTTTCTTCCCAGAGAGAATAGTTTCTATTGCATATATAACTGAAATATTTTATAAAATCACTGTAACCAAATCAAATGAAATCTGGATAGACATGAAAAATTGTCAGTGGCTTTGACTGGAATATTAAAATCATACTGTAGGATACTAGATTGGGTTGAAGATGATGATGTGAAACCCGCTGGGTGTCCTTGGTGCTGGTGAGTCCAGTGTCCCACAGCTTACAGTGCAACAGGGTTCAGAACAGTCAGAAGCAAAGAAGGAAGAGTTTGGGATGGTAGCAGGGAACCCACAATTCTTGTGACTAGGGTATTAAAGCTTGGAGAAGAGGAGTTCAATGATTTGAAAAAAATATATAGAAATTTACATGAGGTACTGGCTGAGAAAATCATAATAAAATTCTAGTAGTGAAAATTATAATTTATAAGGCATCTTAACTAATGTTAAAAAACATTACTAGTATGAATAGTACACATAAAGTAGTGACTTCGAAGCTGCTCATTATTTTGTTGCAACAGTATTTTGTGTAAAGCATGTGAACTATACATACAAGTTTCTTTGAACTAGAATACATCCCTTAAGTAATGGCAGATTTCATTTTATTCTTGATCTCAGAACCATAAGCCATGCATTTGGTTTGGTTTAATTCATTATTAATTTGATAAAATTACTTTGGGTGATATCTATATGATGGCGACAACCAATCAGTTCACTTAATTAATCTAAACAATTTGAATTAAATGAAAAATTAGACCTTCTATTTGACTAAGTCCAATTCAAAACAGTATATTTGTGACTGGGTATATACAAAACCAATAACAATTTGTAGCTCATATGCAGTATGCGTGCTTCCATTTTGCCACCACTATTTAGGCTAAATTATTTTTTTAAGCAAGAAAAATTGCTGCCCCAACGTCAAATAATCTGAAATGTTTATATAGTAAATTGAATTTTTAAGTGGTAATAATTGCTGTTTTTCCTAGCAAAGACAATTCATTTCAGTAACTTTAAACAGAAAAAGTACTCAGAAAATTAAAGTTGAATTTTGGCTTTTCAGAGTCTCTCTTGGAGTACTTCCAAAAACCTACTTCATGACTGTTAGATTAAAAATGGAATTAATCTTCCATTAACTAACCTCATGGAGATGACCAATTGTAAATTGACTGAAAATACTAGGCAAGCAGAAAAGCTGAAGTAGGAAAACTACTCCATGTTTATGTATTAGACACCTTGGGAAATTCTATTAATCTTTCCAGCTAACAGAGTTTTGCAGCATAATTAGAGTTCATGATGTCTTAAAATTCCCAGATACTTTCATATTCAGTTTATGTGCTAATGTAAATCTTCTCCCTTTGTAGTCTTTCTCTTTTTCCTCAGCATCTAGTTACTCAGGCCAAAACCTAGAACTCATTGTGATATTTTCTTATCCTCTATTAACTAATACTTATTAGTCATGAATAATAAGTATTATTATTTGGTCTTTTCCTTTGGTCTTCTTAATAGCCCATTCATCCACCCAGTGCCTCCCCCACCCCACCCTTGCCAGCTGCAACAGCTAAGGTCTTGATTTTCCTACCTCAGTCTTCTCTTCTATTAATCCATGCTTTGCATTGTTTCCTGAGTCATCTTTCTAACACACAAATCCCATTATGTAACTTAACATAGCAGCTTCCATGCTAAACTTCTGCAGGCTCACCTTTGCCATTTCTTAATATTGCACTTTTCCAAATGGCTAATCTCTCTCCAGTGTCTTGACTTAGCCTTGACATATAGAGATTCGATGCAGAATGCTGTCCCCTGTGCTCCTTCCCATAGACTAATTCAGGTTTAGCTTTCAAGACTTTAATCTGGTGTTATTAGTTCCTGGCAGATCCCTTATACCCAGTGTGGTGTGTACCATCTTGTGTGCTCAAATCACTCCACATTTCTTTGTGTTTATTACTCTGTATTATTAATATGCATTTATTTGTCTCCTTCCTGGATTTGGCTTTTTATTTCTGTGTCCTATACCTACCATAGAGAGGGTACATTAGCTATGTCATGAAATGTGTGTGTTGAATGGATAAATGTATAAATAAAAATCAAATTTCATAAATGTGTACTTATTTTTAGAAGAACAATCTAAATTGTGACATCAGAACTGAAACAAAATATTTTAACAGAGATAAGCAAGCTTTTATAACTTTAATGTTTGCTTCTGTTACTTTGAAAAACACATAGTAAAAGAATAAAAAGGCCTGTCAGGTTTTTTTTTTTTTTTTATGAGCAAGATCAGCCCTGAGCTAACATCTGATGCCAATCCTCCTCTTTTTTTGCTGAGGAAGATTGGCTCTGAGCTAACATCCGTGCCCATCTTCCTCTACTTTATATGGGACGCCACCACAGCATGGCTTGACAAGCTGTGCTTCTCTGCACACCCGGGATCCAAACCTGTGAACCCTGGGCCGCAGAAGCGGAGCACGCGCACTTAACCACTGTGCTGCTGGGCCGGCCCCTCCTGTCAGGTTTTAATAATGTGTTAATATCTAGTGAGCAAAGGGTGTTCTGATGCCTAAACTATTATACAGGGTTATGTTGCTTTCAACTTATTTAAATTCCTGTTGTCCTCTGTTTTTCATGGACAGTACAAAGGTTAACCTATTTTTTTATTTTAATAAGATAATGTAGTGACTTTAAGAATTTTAGCAACTGTAGTTCTTTGCATGGTCCTGTAGCAGGTGTTGATATTTGTGCCCCCTCCACTAAATTTCTCATTCTTCCTCCCCACCAGTACCTTATGGTACCTTAGAATATCTGAGAATCCAATTCAAAATTTTATCTAGAAGGAAACAAAAAAATTTTTCGGAGAGCTTTCGTTGTTATAGTTTTGATCACTGCAAGTTTGTCTTTAATCAAATTCCTCAAAAGAAAAAGAGGTCAGTTCTGCTCGATTCCCTGGGTCGTCGTCTTTGAGGCATTTAAATCGATGTATGCAAGATGATTTACTGAGTATCCACTCTGCTGCTTTATAGAAAATGAATCTTTTCTAATTGAACAAGGCTATGCAATGAATCAGGGACTTACTCCCTATTAGCATTGTTAATCTTTAGGTGGGAGTAAGGTCAAGTATGTGTTCCAGTATTAATTAAAAGGCACAGTGACCTACTTATGGCATGCTCTGAATTAAGATTTATTGAATGAGTGAAAAATAGATGAATGACTCAATTATTTTGGAGTCTTAAATTATACATATTTATGTAATGTCTACTGTGATTTTGATTAATTAACTGTAAATTTATCCTACTCTGTTATAGATAAAAAGAAAACTGGAATTGTCTCTATGCATTATTTTTCATATGATATTTAGGAATGTGTTTGCACTGAATCGAGAAGGTCAGTTACATGCCCAGTTTATCAACTGAGCTCTTTATTGAGGAAATATATTACTAAGTAATAATAACTGACATTTGTTGAGCTCTTAGCATGTGACAGGTACTGTGCTAAATGCTTTGAAATGTGTTATCTCATTTAATCCCACATCATCTTATGCTGTGGGAACTATTATCGTAGACTTTTTTATAGATGAGGAAACTGAAGCTTAGAGAGATCAAGTGTTTGGAGCTGGGATTGAAATCCAAGGAGTCCTCCTCAGGAGTTTAGGTTTAATAACCATGTTGAACAGCTTTGGCCTGCTACTTACATGCTTCTGTCACCTATCAACATTTTTAAAAAAATTTCACTCCTTTAGATGGTCAGTTAAATAATCAATTCCATAATCTTATTCTTAAAGCTTATAGGACCTATGCAATGGCCTACTTGTGTCCCTGCAGTGGTGCTGGGGAATCAACACACTTTTGTTTGTTTTGGGAGTCTTTCTCTTTTTTCCCCCCTCTAATTTTACTTCTCAATAGCTAGTGTGACCATAAAATTTATCATCCAAACACTGAGAATGAAAGAAGGTGCTATTTATAATTTCACCAGGACAATAGGCAGGAATGGACTGTGTGGTCACACCTTTAGTCTCCAGGGGAGAGCTGAGTACTTTCTGGATGTTCTAGCCTACACATAGCAGTAACATCTGCAGCAAGTTTAAATGATAAACAGAAATTCACTTTCAGGAAGAGAATTTTTTTAGCAAATGCCAGGTGAGTTTCACTATAGAGAAGTGCCTATAATGAGACAATTTAGTAAGCTTAAAGATTTATTACTTTCCAAAAGTACTATGACTAAGATTTATTATTCAAAAGTATGATTTACAAATTGTAAGAGAAGCTGGGAAAGAAAGTCATGTTTTGACGGCCTGTGAAATGAACTGGGAAGTTCTTTTGACTTGCTTATCTTGTTGATTAATGTGTCATACTAATAATATCTGTGTGACTCTCAATGAATCAGGAATGCCTGATTATGCTTTTGCAGTAAAATTTACTTTATGAAATCAGTGAAGATCACTCATGAATAACATTGCCAAATTACTTTTAATCACATGATTAACCTTTAACATCTATATTTCTTACTCTTTCATTTCCCAAATGAGAAAATGCTAGGGAACTTGTTTAGGGTATTGGTTAAAATCTATATATTATTTTGGTGTGTTATCTATTATGTTTAAGAACTTTTGTTCATAAAAATTGACTTTGCTAGTTCATAAAAATTGACTTTGCTATTTAGTTTGTAATTTATACAAATTCAGAAAATAATTTAGCACAAATTTTTATTTTTTCTTAAGTTTATTTGTTAAATGAAAATATTAGATTTACGTATGTAATTGACTATAATGCTATTTAATGTTACAATATCATAAAAATATGATTATATTGTTTTTGAATCTTTTAAGATAGAAATTTGCCCATAAGCTTTACTTTTTTAAAAATCAAGGACCATGAATTTATTATGACACATTTCCAAATAAATTTGTTTTTTGCATATGTGTCTAAATTCTCATTAATGCCTTTCTGTATTATGTAAATAGCACAGAAAATGTCTGTATTGGAATGTTTTAAAAAACTTTTTTGTTGCATATAACTCAAAGGA